ACGCTAGCCACCTTCTTGTGTCAACTGCAGCTTTTCTTCCTTTTTTTTTTTTTTTTGCAACTTGCATCTTTTGGATCATGTACTATTTTTTTGTTTGTCTTCATTCAAAAATCTTCAGCCCACCCTTAAGACACACAAGAAAGGCAATGTTCACCTAACGTTGATCAATATGATAAATGAATTGCGAAATGTTTGTTCATTTTTTAAGAAACTGTTACATACTTTCAAGTACCACATTAAGTTGAAACTACTGGAGCTTCTTTGACTTCCCATCTCAAATTCTTATCCCTGGAGCAAGAGCAGATGCAGCCAGAAGTAAACGCTCAGATGTAAGAGGAAGGCAAAAGGTATTATTCCATGTATGTAATTTCCAGTAGACTACTAGTGCTTCAGTAAATTAAGAGGTTTGCAAACCTTAATTACCAAAGGAATACATAATTATTACTTTTAGAATACTCTTTTTAAATATCATGTCTTCCCTTTAGTTTAATGACTGCATTTTAGGACTCATCCAGATAGGTAATGCTTTGGTAATATTAATATGACAGACAGTGAGGGAAAATCCAAAGCTTATTGACCCTCTTAGAGCAAAGTATACACGAAAATATACATTATGAAATTCAAATGTACAGATTATACTTCTCTGAATTAGCTAATTTGAACAGACTAGTGAGTTCATATGGGCATTCATTTAAAACAGCATAGACAAACTGAGCAGAATTTTAGCTATTCGGCTAACAATGCTATACAAAAATATTCAGTTAAAAAAACAAGGAACTAAAACGAATAAGTCCAAGAACAAAGCTCTATCCATGTAATGCTTTCAACACATCTGATCCTGGTTACCTGATGTGAAAAGGCTTAGTAAGAAACTATATTCAAGCACAGAACAATCCTAAAAAACCACTCTCTTTCAAAACAGAAAAACTGAAATAAAAGTATCATGTGTGTTCTAAGAGCATCTCTCAACTGCTAAATTTTGTTTTTATAAATGATATGTAGGCCCTTGATACAGAGACTGTTATATATATATATTTAATAAATGACATCTCATGTAATACTCAAATTGACTGTGTCCTCTAGGGATGTCTTAACTCTTATATTACATTATACTAGTTCTCCTGAAGTTCTTAAATAACCAATGGGTGGTTTTTACCTTTTAAGATATATTTTAGAAGTGAGGCTGGAGTAGCCAAAGTTAATTATGAGTGAGTCCAAGCTAATACAAGAATCCAAGTTTATTTCAGGACTTTGCATATCAGTTGAGTGCTGGCTCCTGTCCCCAGAGATGTAAAAACTCTTTTTTTTTTTACTATGTAGTCTACGTAGCACATAAGTTTCAAGATTACCTCTTTACCTGAGCATTTGCAAAGTACTTATGTAAAAGTAAGTAATAAAGTAATAAAAAAACCCTGCATAATGTATAAATAAGTAATGTATTTTGGCAGAAAGAACTTCATGCACAGTGAATAATGTTATCAGTCACAACCTAGTATCTGAAATTGCATTTAATATAGAATAAATCACAGAATCATATCAAGCTGTGAAGTATTGTGAGCTTTAAATATCTTTAAACCACATCCTTACTCAAATATTCACATTTGGGCACTCAATGAAAGGATTTTCTTCAATTACATTCACTTACAAAATTTTAAAAAAACTAGTTTGTATCTTAAGATGCATCATCCATGCATGGTAATTGGCATTAGATAGTTGTGTAACAGATCAGGGGAACATTGCAAACATATTATATTGACTCAAATGTAACTTACACTTAGAATGTATATGTTTTTTTCCTTATGAAGGAAACTCCTTGAAAGTATAGAAGCTGAATTTCCATTTCTGAATCCATCGAAGGGACAAGAAAAGGAGATGAATCACCAAAGCTTTTTCAGCAACTACAAACAGCTCACACATGAGAGAAGTAAAAATGCTACTCACCAATTGTGGAAAAGCCAACAATGTAAACAGACAAAAAATGTTCATAAAAATCCTTCTTCATCCTAGAGGATGTGTACCAGATAGCAAAGCCATACAGTGGGGCATTGCCTCCCAGCACTGATCTACAAAATGCCTGTATTCCTGAACAAAGGGGGCAGATAGATTTGCAGAACAAGCTATAAAATTTCTTATTGGAGCTTTTTGTCTGGTAGAAGGCCATATACAAAGGAAAATTAGACTTTTATAACTCTCTGGCTAACAGGTAGAAAAAAAATTCAGCAGAAGACAGAGACCAGCCTAACAAAAACTTTCCACCCGGAGATGACTGGCTTGGTCAATGGAGAGCAGTGGCTATGTCTGGCTTGATCTCAGTGAGGCACACACCTTTCCCTCACTTATTAAACTGCCTTTATCTCAACTGATAAGTTTCCACACCTTTGCTTTTCTAATTCTGTCCCTCCTCCTGCCTGGGAACAGTAAGAAAGCCCCTGGGTAGGGCTCAGCTGCTGCACAGGGTCAACCCACCACAATATTCTTTAGTGATTTCTTTCAATTACTTCCTTTGTACAGCATTAAAGCAGAACATTCTCCAGATATATCCTCCTGGACAACAGACTATTAGAAAGACCACTGGCTGCAAAATGAAAGAAAAGCAGAGAAAAAAAGCCTTGAAAGAAACAACCATGGTCAAAAAGTGGTAATATTTACACGGAATTATAGACAGAAAACACATTCTTCTCATAGCTACTCTAATACAGGAAAGATGGACCACGGGAAAAGCCTTTCACAGAGTTGCCTATGAAGTCATTCAGGAATGTGAGGCAAAGTGGAAGAAATGCCTTGTTATCTGTCAGATTTAAGAAAAAAAAGTAAAAAAGAAATGAGAAAACAAAGGTAATTACGACTGTTGACCTGATAATGAAATCCTGAGATTCCAGATGTTAATTCTGGCAGGTACAAATTAAAAAGTTGCAAGAAAATAAGCACTTTACATTTAGTAGAAATTCTGTAAGAAAACCCTCAATCTAGTTGCATTCAAGAGGTTGACTTTTTCATCTAACACCAAAAATAATCTGAATTAGATATATGATGTATTTGATCAACAAACTCTGTATCAAGACACATACATTCAAAAAAAAAACCAAGAAAACAAAACTGCTGAGAAAGATTTCAGTATAACTTGTCATGTTACAGGCAACAAAAGATTTTACAGTCAGTCCCAAAGGAAGTATGCCTTTGTCAATTCACAAAAGAATAAAACTTGCACTAGAACAGAAATAAAAGTCTTTTCAATGCAAAAAATAGCAGAAAAGCACTAAAAAGCCATTTCCAGTATTTAGCCAGCATAATCTACACCAAATACAAAGATGAAAAATCAGAAATGGAAGAAAATAACAGCAAAGGAATCTGTTGGCCTCACATCTTTATCTTCCGTTGTTTTTAAAGAAGAGCTAAGGTTTTTAATGCTTTCTTTTGTTGCAGTCATTAAGAAAGTAGTAACATCTTGCTCCATGTTGAGGAGATTAAGGGGGAAAAGGAATGGCTGAAACTCTTCACCTTTTTTCAAAACTTTCCCCTTTTTTTATCAGTTGTAATAAGAGCTGTAACTAAATTCTGAAACCAAAACAAATATCCAGTAATTCTATACAGGTTAATAAAGAAAAGTAATGAAAATAAACAAAATCTGATGGTCTCCTGAAGGAAGATGAGACATTAGTAATACAGGAGCAGATTCACAGATCAACCAGACATCACCAGAAGTAGCACAGTTACTTCAAAACCAGGAAGCCAAACACTTCACTCCCCAAAAAAAGAAAAATATCCTACAGACACACAAACAGAATATGCTTCTGTGAGCATGATTAAGTGAATGACTAGTAATTGAGTTTTGGAGCATTGTATGTAGCCTCAGGTCACCGACTCTGAAACTGAAATCAGCGGCCAATGGGTGGTGCACAAGGCTACAAACTGTAATCGTATCCACGCAATCTTTCCAAAGAATGTAACTTCCGATTTTGATAAAAGTGAACTACAGAAGTTTTGAAGGCCTGGCAACAGTGTGCTTCCCAAATACATGGGCCACTAATGTCTTGGCAAAAGATCAGTTTTTCTCATGCATTATTAGCAAAAGAAAAAAAATCCTACTTTCTTTACACTGGCAGCAACTTGTTCCCTTCTCTACTGTGTGGGCACAACCATTTACTCATAGTAAATTGAAAGAAATTCACTGAAAGCTGGCTTGGCAAAATACTATCATCTGGATCAGTTCACATTTTGTTCACCATACATAGGAATAATTTTGCTGGGATAAATGAAAACTCATGGACAGATGAGAGCTCAAGGTGGGATTAATTTCACTATTGGTACAATGGAGTAAAAAACAAATTAATAAAGAATTGCTAAAAGATTCAATACTTTTCAGCTTTGAATAAGGCTCAGTGAGGGACTTTTAAGGAAAGGCTATTGGGATTATGAACATCTAGGATATTCTATTTATTACTCTATTCGTCTCATAAAACCAATTTGCTAATTTTGCTCTTGTTAAGCTTTTTCTAGTGAACAGGATGCTTGCACATACCTACAGATGCATAATCCTTAAGCACACAAATGTTTTCCCTGTTGAGCTTGTCTGCTGTCCATTAACAGCCTTCACACCTCATTTGTATAACCCTGGTTTCTATATTATTTGCTAGAAGCTGTCCTTTATAATGGTGTTTTGATTTTACATAATGTGGTTATCAATTCCTTCTATAGTTTCTTTTTCTCACACTTCCTGTAAAATTCCATTTTTATTATTAATCATTAATTTTTTTTTCCTAGCCAAACTGTACTTTTATGTTATGATTGCCTTTACAGTGACTACAGCATTTCAGTATTTTCTGCTATTTTAAAAATCATACTTCCTCTATAGATGTACCTTAATATTGAAGATGTTACTTACATTTGCAATTTACAAAACTCAGTTTAGCTAGCCACCTTTATCTCAAAACACTGCCTTTCAATACCAAAATCATGGTCTGTACATAATTAGTAGCCATGGAGACCATGAAAACACATATTAGACAAATGCATGGACCAGCAGGCTTCTGAGCTGCAGTTAAAGACTTAAATAAGTGCACATGGTCCACTGACCACAATTATACAACTAAATTATCTATCCTCATCTTCACCCCCAACCCTCTCCCATTTTAAGGGGGATTCTTGATATTTATCAAGAATCTCAAAGCCTGACTTACCTAAACAGCTGATGCCTTTGACTGGCTGGTCCAGTTACCTCCATCAATCACATGGATAACAGCCCATTCAAGAAAAAGGTAATGACTCTGTTCATATCAGCAAGAAGATATGCAGGGCAGAAACAAAATTACATGATGATCTTGCATGCAGATGTTTTAAGTACTTGGTATACAGACTGATGAGGAACAGAAGAAAAATAAGTCAGTAGCACATCATTTGCCATTTAGTACATATCAGGCCAGCAGCCTCAAAGTTAGCATAATAGCTAGACTGAGCTAGAGATAGGCTTAGAAAACTATACTGAGTGCAAGTAAGATGACAGATTGAATGGTGCCAAAGAAATCCCTCAAGCAAAAGGGAAATCAGAACTGGCAAAAGTGTGCCACTTTTTTTTTTTTTTTATTACTGATATACACTATAATAAATGTTTATGTGGGTATGTATATTAATTACATGTATATAGTCTTCAAATTAGTTGTTTCAGGCAAATTATAGTCAAGATAATAAGTGAGAAAAACTAATGCTAGAAATTTTAACTATTAAAAAATTAATACCTTCATAAAATTACCTTCCATGCCTGATAATGTGTAACATAGTATTTACCTTTTCCCAAATTTAACACTGCAGGAATCTAATGTTCAGCATTTCTAGGTACCCACCATGCAAGTTCTCAGATGTTCAGCTCTTTGCTAAGCATAAATGCCTAGCACAGCCTTCATATTCTCCTACTTCTACATGAATCAAATATCTTTACATACAAAATGGAAAAATATATCTTGACTTACCCTCTCTTCAAAAAAAATTTCCTGTAACAGGCAAATCCTTCTCTTTCTTCACCATGTTTTTTTTACTGCTTATTATTGAGCAGAGGCAGTGTCTTTGCTTGTCCATGAGCACAAGCTAGTAAATACCACCAAGAGGACACCTGGCCTGACAAAGCAATATCTGCATGGAAGGAGGCAACACAGCCAAATAAAGGAGTGTCAAGACTGCCTTCCCAATTTATGCAAGTGAACTACACAAAATTAGCACATGATTACATCTGTTTGAGCTGTGCTGAGAAAACAGAAGTCCTATCTCCCACTTTTTCCTATCCTACCTGTACAATCCAGCTCCTCCCTCAAACTGGCACTCCTGAGGTCCCTTGCCGAGTTGCTCAGTCTGTTCCGGCAGCAGCAAACTAATTCCTCAAAAGAAGAGCAGTTTTTCCACTAGGTTAGCCAGTTAAATTTGTTTTGCACAGAGGAAAGAAATGGAAATGGCAGGATAGAAGTAAGACAGAACAGAATTGAAAAAAAAAAATTACAATAGAGGTAAAAAATTGCCAGCCTTGTTCACCATTCACCTACAGGAGCAGAAGTCTGCAGAGCTCAGTGCTGAACCAGATCACACAACTGATTCAGCTCAAGAAGATCCGGGGTTTTTTTTGGCAGGGTAGTTTTCAGCTGTTTCAGTTCCCTGTCTGCACAGCCACACAGGTTATGCCAGCACAGCATGGCATGGCAGTGAACAAGAAGAGTGATGATAGAATCATACCCAAGATTAAACCTGGACAGAGTCCTGTGGGGTTCTAAAGCAGTGGCCACTTATAGCAGACTGCCTGGTACACCAGAAGAAAATTCTCTCAGTAACTTACCTTGAGATGTAGTGAATGCAAGAAGATAAAATCCCTGAAAGGGTGCTGCATGTATTTTCCTAACAGACAAGTCAGATACAAGGTACAAGGAGGGCCTGTTCAAACTAAGGATTAATTTAAATATGCTTTTTCTGTCATTTCCTCAGCTATAGCTTTTATAAAAATTTGTAATTCTATTACTAGTTTTGGACATTTGAAGTACTTCTACATACTACTGAATTTTGTGCTATCTTAAGAGTCATTCCAAGGCTAGTTAACAAAAGACATCTCAATTTCTCTAGAGTATCCAAATATTCAAAGGTTCTGCCCTCACCCACATCACCTTCACAAAATGCACAAGAGCAGTTCAAGAGCCAGTGTCTTCCTGGTCACCTTCCATTTCTAGGAAGCTCTCCTTATTGCTACCTACAGGAAGACCCCTCTGGCATGCACAAGAATTTTAAAAGGCACACACAACCCTGTGGAGGCAAAAAACAACAGTGTGTCTGTATTAGTTTTTTGTGGTCCAAAAATGTGGCTTTTAACCTGTCTCCCAAGAGTCCCCAGTCACCACACTTTGGTTCACACTGCAGTGAAGAATCAAAATATGAATGTGGAATTCACTTTGGACAAAACTAAACGAGATGCACTCCACAAGTGCACCTAATGCACTCCAACAGTTACTGAGTTCACTCCATGGGTTCTGAGCTAGTGTGAGGCAAAACACACTCAGCAGTCTGCAGGTGAAGCCCCCAGTACGAAGATCTGTTTCTCTAAAGCAGCAGCACTTGATATCAAATACTTTACTTACACTGAATGAAATCACAAAAGGTAAATTAACCTACTAAATTACAGTCAAAAGTCTTACATAGGTACAGAACAAAATATTTTTTAATTGTGTACTTATCATTGAAGAATTGAGAGAGTACCTAATTATCCAAATATAGGGAATTTCTACATCTGAGGGGTTGTTTTCTTCAATGGCTGCTAGTTGGAATGTCAGCATCTAGGGGGTATTAGAGTTTAAATTTGTACTTAGAAGGAATTAGAATATGTATGTTACTATCACCTCAAATGGCTCCAGGCTGATGTTTTCCCAACATCTAAAACACTGAAAAAGCTCTTGAATGTGGCCTAATCATTAGCTGCTTTCTAGATGCTAATAAGATCTCAACCATTCATTTTAAAGTAGTTTTCCTCAGCATACTTTTCATATGCACAGCTGAATTTACTTTCTGGAGGCTGAAGCAAAGGTAGAACATTTTTAGCGGGTGTTTGTTCAGTGCAAAAAAGGTTCCTAGGACTCATCTGAATGTGAAGACCTGCTAAAATTATTCTGGGGTATACTAAAAGCTGCTACTATTCTGGTAAGAAATACTGAAAATTATTACTACTTCACATCTAAAATCTCCCTTATGATTTGATGAGTCCTCACAGCAACTTACACATAACAATAATGGAATACAAGACATGCTATCAAGGAATTAAAAGATTTTTCTAATATTAAAGATAATCCATGATGTCCCAGTTTAATGCTATACAGAAATTTGCCTCAGATGGCTTTTCCAGAAAGATGTTCTGTTCATCAAAGCACTCACAGAAAGTCTACTTGAACCCTTTTCTGACATAACAATGGTGAAATGACAACTAGTATTTTCTCTAATTCTCTTTGATCAACTGCCAAGCCAAAGAGAAAAGTCATGTACTGAAACCATTGTGCATAAACTAGAGCTATACCCTTTGGAATAAAGAAATAGGAACAGGCAGGTGAGCTTCCTTGAAACTTAACAATCACAGGAAATTCTTCATCAGTTGCTTTTTTCATCAGCTTTTAACATGAACTTTAGAGTTTCCATTTTGATTTTTGATGCTTAGGAAAAAAACCTGAGTCTCACTCAGATAAGAAGGTCCTGCAGACTGGAGACATTGGTAACAGCTTTAATTCTTACCATGCTGGAATTTAACTGCAAGATCAGACTTTAAGGCTTCACAGCTTACCTTCCTATCTTCTACAGCTTACCTACTTCTGTGGAACAGAGCACGTTCCTAAAAAATAGATTTCAAAATAACATTAGCTTCTGAAACATCAGATTCTGGAACAAACATGCCCAACTTGAACCACATACATTTTACTAATATGACCATTCTCAAATTTTTAAAGCTCTGTGCCTTGCCTTCTTTCCAAAGAGTTATGTCATCCAGCACTACCCTTTAGTCACATTTACTTGAAAAAGTTAAGAGGTTTCTCTCAAAAGTCTCAAAACCCTCCTCAGTCTCCTGGTTTATTCTACATATTTTTTACTGGCTTCTTCTTTTCTTTATTTTGTTAACTCAATGCCATGATATATGTCCACATGACCAGAAGGGTTTGGAATCTCTTGCAATAGAAGGTTAGGAGGGAAAGAAATTCCTCCTGCAGACTTTTCAGTCTGCTTGATTACAGCACTCATTAAAAAAGCCTACCATCAAGTACATTTCACTAAAACCAGAAGTACTCAGATTTAGATTCAGCTAAATTCTAGTTCTGAAGTATTAAATTTTGAAGTATGAAATCAGTGTACCAGCAATGATGAAGTTTTAATCAGCAGGAGTTACACACATAGGAACACCTGTTGCAACTTCATCTCAGCGTCCCTGGAGCTTTGTGTGTATTATCTACAGAAACACTTTGTCCCTGTACTCTCTTTTAAAGGTGTTTCACAACTTTTTTCCTCACTATGCTTAATTTACAGCATATTTCTTCAAGGAAGTTGATTTTACGAACCCTTGATTTGCTGTAGGCTTATTTAATTCTTGCCTTGAATATTCATACAACTAACACAAGAAATTTTGCTAAAAAAGAGGAAAGGAGAACTACATTTTCCCTTTAATCTTATGGGTTGGTTTTTTCTGGTTTGTTTTTTTTTTTTTTCCTGGAAACAAGCATTTTTCTCACCAGATATGTACTTACTTTAGGCATCTTGCTGCTTTCTCCCAGTTTTTTCCAAGGTGAAGTTTCTGACAGGGAATCCATAGTAAGCCTTTGGTTTCTCACCATTTACACTGCTATGCCACTACTCTACATCATATGAAAGAGTCATGTCAGTAGGAAACTGTGTCATATCTGCTTGAATACCTGGAAATCTTCTTTTTCCAGAAACTTACTGCCACTCACACTTTCCCAGGACAGGATTTGTGAGTACCTAGTAGAAGGATACATACCTGCTCAACAACATCTCTTTGGCAGTCTGATTTGTCTTCCTGATTCCATGAGAACTGTTTTAAGAAGGGGTAAGAAATAGCAGTGTAGAAGTGTGTTGGTTTGCAGAATTTCTAACTAGTACTATATTCAATGTTTCTTCAAGAATTACTGGATTAAGATTTTACAGACTTCACCTCAGGTCTTGCTATCAATTCCTTCCTAAGGGGCCCATCTCATGGCACCAAAAGCAGCTTGATAAGAATAAAGGGAATTTCTTTTTTTTAAGGACAAGCATCATTTGTAGAGGTTCTAGAAGCCTTTCCATTCTGAGTCAGATCTTCAAGACATTTTACTGCAATTCATTTTAATTCCCAAAGAATGTGTTTTATTTTTCATCCATACAACGTCCCATAAAATGATTCTGAATAAACAACTTACTTCCTAGATTTCAATATGCATTTAAATCCCTTCCAACATACATCTAAAAAAAAAGAAAAGCACCTATAATCCCACCTCCCAAAAATTCCAAACTATAATACCTGGAAAAAAAACCCCAAAAAACACACACCCAAATAAAACCACACCATATAATTTAACATATACTTTAATTCCTACTTCCCACTTTTAGATCTCAAAAGTCACATACAATAGCCAGAAAAACCAACAAAATACATGCATGAAAGATTTTTTTAAAGGAAAAATATTCCACATAAATTCCCTACAATATACGGGACAACAAAGAAAACTAACAATTTCATAACCACATAGTAAGTACTAAAAGCACACAAAAATTTTATAGTTCAAATCCCAAGTGTATTCTGCTTCTTCACGTTCTTCACTTTACTATATAGTAAGTGATATAATTGACTTAAAAAGGAAGAAGTAAAAATATGTATTTCTATACTTGTGATTGTATGTGCATATGCAATTCTTAATACATTTACTTATTTTATAGATCTACTTATACAATCTGTATGCTGAATACATAATGAAACATCATAATACGTATGTAATTATTAAGATTACTGTTCTACCTAACATACATAAAGCTAAATTAATGTTGAGTCAGTTCTTGAAGGTCATGGTGTATATCAAAAAACATTTTACTGCTCAAAAATAGGTTTTGTTATACATAGCTATTCCCTAACCATTCAAATCAGACAGTGGAAGTCTTGTTGCTTATTTCATAGTATAGGGAACAGACAATGCATTTTATTCCTTACATCATTCAGCCACATTGTAACTGTAGGATAGAGCCCTGTTTTGCAGGATATTGGAAAATGTACACAGAAGATTATTCTTAAAGGTTTATGCTAATTTTTTTCCACTTGACAAGTTAGGCATAAAATAGGCCTCAGTAAATTAGTTTGAAAACAAAACAAGTAAACAAAACATCACATACAAGTCTCTTACTTGCAAAATGAAATTTTCTAAGATAACTGCCTAATTAGGTCTATTTTTCCCAAGCACTTTTTATGCAATTACTGTTCTTTTTAAATTTTAAATTATTTTTTCAATTGTTTTGTGATAAAAT